AGCCCCGAAGGCTTCAATAGCAATTGAGGAGTGGTTCCTAAACTACTCTATGCCTTCGGCGAATGAAATTCCTCATCCCCAGCTCTGCAGCAATCCTCAGCATGTACCCATGTTACAAATTGGATTTACCCCATGTTTATCCTTTAGCAAGAAAGATTTCCATCTAACTAGATATAATTGTTGCCCACTGTAAGATAGTGGGCAGATATGCCAGCCAGGAAGGTAAAATTACACCCCATCCCCCCCCCCCCAATAAATAAACCAGTTCAATCCAAGGTTATTTCCTCAAGAATGGCTTCTATCATTACAAAAAGACTCAAAACAACAGCAAAACAACTTAAAACACCTGAACCTGGCCAGCAAGTCTCAGTAAGTTGGGAAGGGAAGAACACACTCTTCCCTACAGGTAACCTTTTCTAGGTATCCTATAATTCCTGTCATGGAGAGACTCTCTCTCTAAGAGCCATCATATTCCTTCACAGTGAGCTCAGTGCTCAGGTTACCCATTGCATTGTTCCAAAGGTGGTCACCTGACTTCCTGGTCATGTGCCCTCTAGACTTGCAGTCCCTCCCGGGAAACTACATTTCCCAGAATGCCTGCTCTTAAGAGGCCCAAGGGATGTAATAGGAGCACTGTGCCCAATTACACTAACACTAAATCAAAAATTTGAAACACAATATTGAAAAATAGCTGGTATCCACTCGTGTACACTCTTACCAACTGTGATAATTGCTCCAAGTTTATAGTTCTGTACTAGGGTTGCCAACTTTCTACTCACACAAAACCGAACACCCTTGCCCCACCTCCTGCTCTGCCCCTCCTCTGAGGCCACACCCAGCCCCTTCTCACTCCATCCCCCTCCCTCTGTAGCTCACTCTTCCCACTCTCACTCATTCGCTCATTTTCACCGGGCTGGCTCAGGGGGTTGGGGTCCAGGAAGAGGTGATGGCTCCAGCTACAGGCTCTGGGGTCGGGCCAGGGATGAGGAGTTTGGGGTGCAGGAGGGGGCTCTGGGCTGGGAGGTGGAGCCAAGGAGTTTGGAGTATGTTAGGGGGCTCCGGGATGATGCAGGGGTTGTGGGAGGGGGTACGGGCTCTGGGCTGGGGGTGCAGGTTCCAGAGTGGGGCCAGAAATGAGGGGTTCAGAGTGTGGGAGGGGGCTCCAGGCTGGGGCATGGGGTGCGGGCTCTAGTGTGGGGCCAGGGATGAGGGATTTAGAATGATGCTCCAGGCTGGGACCAAGGGGTTCAGAGGGTGGGAGGGGGATCAGGACTGGGCCAGGGGGTTGGGGCACAGAAGGGGGTGAGGGCTCTGGCTGGGGGTGTAAGCTCCAGGGTTTGGCTGGGGATGAGAGGCTTGGGGGGAAGGAGGGTGCTCTGGGTTGGGATTAAGGGTTTCGGAGGGTGGGAGTGGGATCAGGGCTGGGGCAGGGGGTTGGGGCATGGGAGTGGGGCGGGGGTGCAGGCTCCGGGCAGCGCTTATCTCATGCAGCTCCCAGAAACACCGGTATGTCCCCACTCCGGCTTCTATGCGGAGGCATGGCCAGGTGGCTCTGCGCGCTGCGCCATCTGCAGGCGCTACCCCCAGTTCCTGGCCAATGGGAGCTGCAGAGCTGGTGCTTGGGGTGGGGGCAGCATGCGGAGTCTCCTGGCTGCCCCTATGCGTAGGAGCTGGAGGGGTGACATGCCGCTGCTTCTGGGAGCCTTAGGGAGCCTGCCTTAGATCCACTGCACCACCAACCAGACTTTTAATGGTCTGGTCAGCACAGCTTACCAGAGCTGCCAGGGTCCCTTTTCAACCGGGTGTTCCAGTCAAAAACCAGACACCTGGCCACTCTATCCTGATCATCTGTGGGTGTTTGATATGGTATGAATGGAAAATCCCACCAATTCAGCCAAACCTAAAGAGTTCCTTGAACCATCAAAAACCAGTCAATTAAACCTGAATCACTATTAAAGGGAATCTGCAGGGTCTGATTCTGCCCCACTTTCTTTGTGCTAGATCCACAAAGTGACTTAAGTATTGCAATGCTGAGCATTGTAGTGCTTCACTTTTAGGCATCTTGCTACCCAGTGAAAACCACAGCCCCAAGTTAGGCACCTAGGCCCTATACAATGCATAGGGAGAGTTTGGCACCTAAGATTGGGACCCACAAAAGCCAGCATGCTGCACGGGGAGCCACCTAAGCTAGTCAATCAGAAATGCTGAGGAGATGGATATAACATAAGTTCTGCCCCTCTCAGGGAGTTAGATGCCTAAATTCTGGGATTCTCAGCCATGAACTCTCTGCTGGAGTTAGGTGTCTAAACCATGTTTTGCAAGAAATGCCAAGGAGGCATGCAGGTGAGGAAAAAGGCCTCCCTTATATATTTTAGCACTCATCCAGGACACTGGAGACTTTGGTTGAATTCTCCTCTCTGTTAGGTGTGGAGAAGGAAGTTTGAATGCAGGTCTCTCATCAATCAGGGGAGTACTCCAACCACTGGGCCACAGAGTCATTCCTACTCTCTCGTTGGCCCAATGCATATTTAATTATTCATACACATTGGAACAGCTTCAATAGGAGAGACTGAGAGATCTGCAGACCAGAATATCTCATAATCAGCTAGTCAGGACCCTCCCTTGACAGGTGGGGAAAAAAGTTCAAATCCCTGCTCCACATCAGACAAAGGGGGGCACTGAACCCTAGTCTTCCACATTCCAGATGAGTGCTCTAGCCACACGCTAAAGGCTGTGATGGAGGAGTCCTCCTCATACTCCCTCTGCCCCGGGGCTATTTTGTGTGAAAATGCCTGTTGGATCAGGTGAAATAGGCAGAGGAATGCCTAGTCTGAGGATCTTGCCTAGTCTGAGGATCTGTCCTTAGGCATAAAATAGGTGCCCAGGAGTCTTAAAATGAGCTGGCTGTGTGCATCCTCACTGGCAGAAACATACTGTATGTAACCGTGGAAACTCAGGCACCTAGGGATTTTAGGCACCTACAGGGTTAGGTGGCAGCTGAGCAGGGTTTGACACTTTTTTTTAATTTTAAACCATTTTATTATTTCCTCTTCTTTGCTTCTAGCTGCAATGATTAAAATATATTGTATATTTATGTTTCACTTTTCCTTTATTTACCGTAAGTGATTTAACTTTCCACACACCATGGTCTTCCCTCAGACACTGAAGAGCAGCGGTGGCAAGAGAAATTTTGTTTTTTCTGCTCTCTCATGTAATTTAACTACCTGATAAGTAACTAATTGTGCTTTGATGCCTGGCTGTGGGAGCGACATAGGACCTGCTCTTTTCCGCAGCATCACAACAGAAATAATTTGTTAAACAATCATTGTCTAATTCTTTACTGTAACAAAGTAAAATATTTACCAGTACATGTGAGCCAATTTACATTTCTTAAATACCTAAAATACTTACTGATTTCATTGGCATGTCGCTTTAGGAGTTTAGGGTATAGAAGGAATTCAGGATCATTCCCCAATTCAGGATCCAAACTATCTTTAACAATTTAAAAATTAATCCATCCAAATTAAGAGCATGAGAACGGCCATACTGGGTCAGACCAAAGGTCCATCTAGCCCAGTATCCTGTCTTCCGACTGTCACCAATTCCAGGTGCCCCAGAGAGAATGAACAGAATAGACAATCATCAAGTGATCCATCCCCGGTCACCCATTCCCAGCTTCTGGCAATTGACTCTTCAGTGTGTTAAGTATCTCTTTAGAATGCTTAGTTCAATCTTTATGAGAAAGGTACAGACTATGATCTGGGAATATTTATATTTGGAAAAATTGAAGGTTAGCTCAAGAAGTCGCAACAAGAACACTTTCTTGATTGTTTTACTTGTGAACTTTTCTGTATAGCAGTAACATACTATGTGGCATTTTGATTTGTGTCCAGAACTTGAGATAGCCATGGCCAGCAAAAGCTACAATTGTTATAGAAATTTCTCAGTTTCTGTTTATTGCTGCATTTCTCTTTGCTCTACCAAACATTGTACCTGAAAGTCTGAGATTGCAGAAACTACCAATGACTTTGCTGTTTGCTCAAAGTTCAGAGACTCTTGCAACTCTCTGTGTACTGTGGTACGAAACACATTAAGTGTCTTTTTAAGCCAGGAATACAAGTCTCAGTTTAGGGTTAGCCCAGAGGATCCATTTCATGCTTACCTTATCTGTGTGTTTTTAAATGAGCATGGAAAGAATTTGCTATTGTACAACGTTCCTGATAATACTGACTAATTAGCAATGGTGGACTTTAGCTGTTTTATTGATAGTTGCTTGCTTAGCAAGACAAACAGATTTATTATCTGTAGGAAAATATGTCAAATGCAGGAGGACCCTTGCTTTAGTTTTGTTTTATTTTATTTTTTTTAAAACCTTCCTTTAGACCAACATCATTGGCATAATTCTTAAAATCTGTTTGTAAATATCCCAGTTTATTTAAAAATTAGACTAACTGTTAACATATTCTACAATTACATTTTATTTTCTTCCTGTTCATTGAAATGATGTAAATGTTTCCTTCTCTGGGTCATTTACATTTTCCAGGATACTTATGACCACATATCTTAGCTTCTGAAAAAAATATGGACAGCACACCAAAAAATAGTAGTATAAAACTTACCAACTCTTTAGAAGAGTTTCTCGTGACAGAAGAGATCAGAGAACATTTCCAGAAATTACAATATACAAATTAAATCTAGGTAAATATTTGTAAATACACAATTGAGTTAGTGAGACAAGGGTGGGTGAGGTAATATCTTTTATGGGACCAACTTCTGTTGGTGAGAGAGACAAGCTTTCAAGCTTACACAGAGCTCTTCAGAAAAGATTATCTCATCCACCTTGTCTCTCTAATATCCTGGGACCGACATGGCTACAACGACACTGCAAACAATAATTGAGTTAGTGTTATTTCAATGGTTTGAACAAAACTACTTAAGTACATATATAGTCTTATATGAATGCCTAAGGCAAGTTAATAAACATGCATAATACTACTAACCTTAGTATACTTAATTTTCAGATCACTGAGTGGTGCAGGCAGAGCTGGAGCAGAATTGCTATCTGGGATTTGTTTTTTCGTATTTTCAGTTGACATGTTTAGTTAGTTCCTGAAACACAGGTGAAATGAGGAATCAGAGAAGCTGAGTGATTTTGTCCTGACTGAGCATTTAGCTTTATTTGTACTATTTTATCTGAACTGGCTATGGTATATTTGCATACAAGTCTATGATTGGATGAAAGATTTCACTGCAAAAAGAAAATGACACTACTTATTTCTAACACCAAGGGCAGCAGTGTTTTCACTTAGGTTGAAATCTGTATGATACAAATTCTTCAGAAATAAACTGTATTGAAAGACATTATGAAAGTTTGCAAATATTAGAGCATTTCTTGTTCTTACCTGCAAAATATCTTTCTTAGATCAGGCAGGTCCAGAAATTCGAACCTGGGCTCTTCAGTTTGGAGGTAGAGACAAATATGTTAGTTCGGGGTGCAGGCAAAGCCTTTCCCACTAGAGAGCCAGGCAGAATAACTTACAGAGCTGTAAAGTACTCAATTGTGATTTTAATACACTTGGAACAAATCATCATTCCTGTTGATAACATTTATTGTTGTAGAACATGTGGGATGAAGACAAATGTATTAATATAAGGTCCTCATACCCTTACCAAAACCAAGTAATTTAAGGGAGGGACAAAATGATGGACCTGCCTGATCAAAGAAAGAAAATTTGCAGATAAAAACAAAAAATTGCCTATTCTTTTTCTGAGGCAGCTCCACAGATTGTAAGTAGCATTTTTTTCAGCAGTGCCCGCTAGAAAGGGTATCTGAATTTATTAAAATAACAATGTGTAATTCATTATGAAAAGTGGACTGCTGGAGTACTATTGCATCCAGTGCCCCTCTGCTGAAGAAGGTGCCCACTGATGCTTGTATATGTTTAGTTTCTATTACTTAGTGTGGAGCAAAGGTGTTTACTCCACACATCTCTTCATAGAAAGCATGAAACTTCTGTGCCCATGAGGTTGCCATCAGTCTTGAAGAATGAGCATTGAGTTTTTGTGGAGACACTTTTCTAAGCTTCCGATATGCCTCCTGGGCCTGATCCAAAGCATACTGAAGTCAATGGAAAGTCTAATTGATTTCAACAAGCTGTGGATCAGGCCTCATCTGAGCTGTCTTGCAATGGGGAACGTAGAGGCTTTGTTGCCTCTCACTGATGGATGATACAGGCCATATAATTAAGCTGATCTTCTGATCCATTTGGTTCTTTCTGTATATATCTTAGCAGCCCTCCTGACTTCTAATATGTGCCACAATTTCTCCACATTCAAGATCTATAAGGGAAAGATTAGCCATTAAGAAGCACTGTACACTAGTTTGCGTTGAAGCCCTGGTATATGCAATCTGTTTCCCTTTATAGTGTCTCTTAATGTCTTGATATGCACTTGAATTAGAGACACTTCAGGCCTTTTACTGCTTGCTACCACTTTCATTTGGGAAGCATGGTTTTCACTACCATTTTCACTTGGAAAGCATGGTTTTCAATAGCACAAATATTGACTTTGCAAAGTCAAGTCCATACTTTGCAATAATTTTGCTGTGATTTGGTTATCAGTTTTCCTAAAAATAATTCAGTCTCTAGTTAGCCAATCTGTTAAGTGTTCAAATTCACATGATTTAGCTTTATCACTCAGGTCTGCAACATAATGAGCAATGGCCTCATTTGTTTTTTATGAAGAAATGTGCCTTTTGCAAATGACATTTTCCTGAATCACATTCTCATTTTCATGTATCACAGTATTCTTGAAATTTTTGAGTTAAAATAAGATACCCTGAAAACAATGGAACATATCCTACCTCCCTATATATTATGAGAGTGCAAAATCTCATCAGATATTATTTAGAGATCCTGGAAAGACTCTGGAAATCCTTGCTTCCTTTTCCATGCTATTCATTCTCTTTCCCACACACAGTTTACTCTACCTTCCCAACTATTCTGTGACCAGATGCAAGGAATTGTTTTTTTTTTCTTTCAATCTCGGATGGACTTAAGCTACCTTCACTACAAGAAGTGCACTGACTCCTTCCTTGCCCTCATCCTTGGACCTTTTTGACAAAGTGCAGTCCATTAAAAAGCTTACCTGCTATCTTGATCCTCGAGTTTCTCATATTATCTGATCCTGTCTGCTGAAGCTTTTTGCCTTACATTACTATTATTGTCAATAATACCTTATTTTTCCCAACTTTTTACTTTCTATGACTGCCTGCCTCTTTAAAATTTCTCCTTTCTACCTGAAATTCTAACTGTAGCCCTTTCTCAACAAAATACCTGATTAGGTAGATTTCTGTGAGCTATCTAGTCACCTATCAATCAGCAACATCCTTGACCATTTTCAACCTGGGGTTCACTCAGGCCTTAGCAGACAAATTGCCTCTTTTCGTGCTCTCCTCCTGCTTCTTTTCACCATAATCAATTCTTTCCCCCTCCTCATTCTTTATTAAATCTGTGACGCCTTTGACACAGCAGACCACAACGTCATTCTGGACAGGCAAATCTCATCACATACACATTTGTCAAAAGGTTCTTTCCTTGTATCAGGTGACGATTCCTTCTGTGTGGAAAGATTGCTCTTCGATACCAATGCGCAATGTTCAATCCTTAACCAATTGCTCTTTTCTATCTATCTTCTCCATCTCAATCATCATCTTATCTTTACCTTAAACCTCAATTAAAATATAACATCTGGACATATTGTTTGACATCGTTAGTGACTCTGATGGAGCAGTCAAGTAAACTTGAAAGTTCATGACAACTTTCTTCTGCAAAATATTTTGAAGATGGAAGCAAGTGTGTCATCCTCAAATCTAATTCTATCTCCCTTCTTGATTCAGACATCCAATCTCCCCTCCCGGTCTGTATCTTTGGCGTCTTCTTGGGATCTCACCCATACCTCCCAGGTATGGAAATCTTCCTCTTCCTATCAGAACAGTATTGCCCATGTGCCTCTCTACTTCATCTTACACTGTTATCTCACCACTGCTGGTGTGAGAGGCAGATCCTCAACTTACAAGAGATTTCCTGTAACTAGATTCTCCATCTATTTTCAAATGCTATCTGATAGTACAACTTTTCTCCCTGGTCTAAACCCATTGATTTCTTTTTTCTTCTAGTGCTATCTTTAAAAAAAAAACCTTTTCAATTGTGTTATAAAACTTGTTAATGTGTTTTGGGATGCTGTTTATGTGCAAGAAGCTGTACAACATCAATTGTATTGTAATGCATTACATTGGTTTCTTCCAAAAGTTTAAAAACAAGAAAAACAAAACAAACAGAGAGCCACCAACAGGGCATTTCAGAGCATCCAGTTACATATCTTAGGTTTAGTAACATTGGGAGATATCACAAAGGTTGTAAGCACTCGGTCTTTAGTTATATGTATTGCAACATAGTTATATGTATTTGCCAACAGCCTCATGCCTCACAGAATCATCAATAAAATTAGTCACTTGATATATCTCATTGCATAACAAGCAGGACAGAGTTTGATGTCAAGTTTTTTAGTAAACATGCTTTGTCATTTTCTACTGATGCAATTACTGTGCTGTGGGTGTAAACTGGAATAAACCTGTCACCAACTAAGATTAAGGGCTCTACTTGGGTTTTTTTATGTTGGTTTCCTTCAGTGCTCCTCAGAGGTTACATATAATTTGGAAGCTATATAATCTACATAGTATTTCCCCTTCAGTTATCAATAATACAGAAGCATGAGCCTTCCTACTACTTCATAAATGGAGAAAAAGAAATACCCATTCTGAACCTTTCATGGAAGTAGACATGAATTCCACATTTTTGAGAATATATTCAAATTCAAGTTGTTTGTTCTTGTCTGACTCTCTCCAGCCCCATCCATTCAAGTTGCCAAAACTTTCCTCCAACCCAAACACCTCCATCCTGATCCCTTCCAAGCTTTCTCCTCCCACCCTGGGTAAAATGTTCCAGAAAAACTACTTCTAGCAGCCAAAATCCTCTTGCTTCTATCTCCCTCATCCTTGACAATCTTGGATCAACTAGAAATAGGTCTTTCACAGCTGGCATTACATCTTTCCACAACTAAACCAAGTTTGTTCTACTATTGTATATGTCATTATTGAGTGAAATTTTATCTTCCAACTTATAAACTTACAAATTTTAAGGATCAAATTTTGAAAGATTTAAAAAAACCCATTTAAATCATATGACTCATTATTAACTAAACTTCTAAACTATCAAGCCATCCAAAGTCAGGTTTAGTTTATTCTGGATATCAAAATGTGATCAGATTACAAATGCACTTGAAAATGACAGTAGTATGTGAAGCACTTCAGTTCTGGTAATCTTATTCAAGGTGTATTCAAGGCAAAGATATAATCTCAAATGTGGATAATGTAGATCAGAAGATGAGTGTATTTTAGAAGATGGCATAAAGGGGGAAGTGAACATAAAGGACGTGGCCAGAAATTCATATTGTGAATCTGATACCTCTGAGGACAGTATGTAAAATACATATCTTATTTTATAGGGTTACATTACACCATTATCACAAATTTGGTTGTATGGAAAGGAGAAGTTCCCCCATGCTCCAAGTCTGGTACAAGAACATCTCACTCTTTGGGGTGTCCTGAGACACTGCATAATATCTAAATATTTTACTTTGCATTACCTCTGCCACCAGCTCAGAAAGGGGAATGCTTACATCATCAGCAAGTGCTCTTCCTCTCCTTTTCATAACGTGATCTTCACATGCTAATTATGAACAGCACCCTCTTATGGGAGTGGAGATTTTACAAAAAACAACAAACAAAGTGACAAAAATGTTCCTAGACAACTATCGTGTGTGTCTGTGTGTTCATTCTTTTTTGGTTTAATGCCCTCTACCAGGCCCTTTTGCTTCACAGCTTACACCAAATCATCTTTATGATGTTAAAATATACCTGGCGATGTATTTTCATTGTGATTTTTACTATTCTGTTTACCCCAACTGGCCTGAAATGATAAAAGAACAGAGGTACATCAGGTCTTTCTGGGTTGCTATCTACAAGGGATAGATGGCAGGACTGACTATTAAATTCTGAATGTGGTAGTTTCCATTTCTCTGGCAAATCTAAGTTGACACTATGATTGGGATACAAATCACCT